GGGGGAACCTCTTCTCTGTTTGGTATTTGTAAATACTCCAGTGATGATTGTAGGCTCTGAAAAGAAAAGTTATTAATTAAAACGAACGAACAAACCCACAATTCAAGCGCATGACAAATCACGCTGCGTTTCTCATTGACTGTACAAGGAAAGGAAGCGTCTTTTTAACGGAAAAGAAGCTGCACAGTGCTACCAAATATACAGTCATCTGGCCGGAGGCGTGGGGGTGGGAGATCCCAGTGTGATGGACAGAATTATCATAAGGAGCGAGATGTTTCCCCCTCATTCCTCTCCTGGGCTTATCCCTAAGTGTATGTTATAAACGAACAATTTAGAATGGGGGAGGGAGCATGGCACAGGGTGCGAGACAGAGTGATCTGAGCTATGCGGCGGGATCCTTAAGCTCTCAAACAAAGGACACGAATACAGCTCATGGTGAGAGGCAGGGACCTTTTGCCAGGGGCGGAGAAGGGCCTGATCTTTCTGCAGGGTCTCTTCTTTTGCGTCAATAATTCTCCCCCTCTCCGAAGACTGGATATTGTTTTCTTTAGAAATGTCCTCCCGTGGTTGAACGCAAGTAAAACGACAGGCTTTCCCCTCCATTCCCCCTCTGCAATAGCTGGTTCCCTGTGTGTCCCGACGCTTGAAAGCAACCTGGCGGTGCTTCTTGTATGGGAGGCAGCGGGCTGCTACATCCTTTCCCCCACCCATTCCTCCCCAAGTCACTTTCCAGTGTAATATTCCATTTGTTCTATTAAACCTGGAATAAGGAATCTCCTTTTTTGTAACAGTACTAAGTGATGTGCAGTAGTTTACCCCCATCAGAATATCTGATGATTTATTTTAAAGAGGTGAGCCCTTGTTATACCTCCTGTTGGTACTGAAGCAAAATACTGTTCTGTACTATGCACTGTACACTGTATATTCTTTGTTTATAGCTTTACCCATTGAATAATGAATTCAGCAGCAGTACAGATCTGGCTTCTACTTTTTAAGGCATTTTTTGTATCCTACTAACCTGTACTAGACTATTATGAATATCCCTGCCCCCCCCCCCCAGCCCTGAACAAAACCCTGATGGATGTGTGAAAATGCCATCTCTTAAATTATGATTAATATTTCAAAAGTGGCTGGTGTAGGTCTCTCAGGAAAGGACCAACAGTTATTTGACTATAGTAGGAAGTGTCTGAGTGGCTGCTTGTTACTTTATTTGTTGGAGGAATCTAAGGCAATGTTAATTACAATAAACAAAGTTTTTGGCTAAACACTTAAACATCATGACTTGCAATTGGTGCCTTAATAGAATGGCCCTATCTAAACTTTAACACCTCTCCTGGTGGTCACATTAAATCAGAGGTGATGCTTTTCTGTCCATGTTAAGCACAAAGATGGAAAACATCCTCCTGAATTATTTTTCTAGATGTACATTAAAAGTAAATACTGGCTGTCTCTTAAATTTATGTTCTCTTCAGAATCCTGTCTCCCTGCCAAATCCTGCTGGAAATGATGAATGCTATGTTTAAAAACATGTACACAATAGGAGATACTGGCACACCTAACTGGTGACAAATACAGTTGTCTAAATTAAAGATGGAGAAATGTGGTGTTGAGCTGGGACAGAACATACTAGTAAATGCTCTTTAATCCCATTACAGCACCAAAATGCAGAGCTGTGGTACAGTATATCCGTTCCATATTTTGTTTCACTTCTAGCTAATCAGATAGGAAAAGGCTATGGAGATAGAGTTGATGAGTTCAGCACCTTGGATAGATGCTCTACCAGCCTAATAAAGTTGATGATCCATCTTTCTCAGCACAGTAGGGTAAAACTTGTTGAGTCCATAATATTTTTACATTGCAGTTTGAGAGTAGCATCTGATTCTCATCACAGGTATGATCAGCTGCTAATGATTATTTTGTTCTTTTGGGATAAGGAAGTAGGCTATCCCATTTTTCCTACTTTGGGACAGGTGAACTTTTGTGTGTAACTCCCTTGTACAGATCATCATGGAATAGTAAAGAGAAATCAGTGAACAGCAATGGAGCTTTCTAGTTATTTGTGATCTCCAGTAAACAGAGATATTTTTTCTTAATTCTTTGAGTTTTAAAATGTATAATTTTCAGTTTCGTAAAAGCAATAAGATGTTTCACATCACTTCAATGAGTGCATTTCTGGTTGATGATTCCACTCCTCTAGTGTCTGAAGTCAGTCACTCTACTTTTTGCCTTATAGACTCAAGGCATGCAATAATTCCCCAGAAATGCACTGCCCATCACACCTTATTGTGATTATAAAATTGCCCTATTTTGCAAGAAAATGGAGGGGGAAAAGGGAAAAAGAGAGAGAGAAGCTTGGTGTGTGAGTGTTTGTATAAAATTTTTGACACCATTAAAAGTAGTTGCAGAAATGTGTTAGATTTTAAAATCTCTCACATTTAAAACTTGACCTTCTGTTTAATTGGTTTTTATTTAATTTTTAAGATTTGTAATTATGTAAATCTATGTAAATTATGTGGTCTCAGAGTAAAACATCATACTGACGTTAATGTTCTCAGAAATATGAACTTCTTGTGGTATAACTTGAAGTTTTATTAAAAAAAATATACAGAATAGCATAAGGTATAAATGCTCATTCTCATCTTGAATTATTTAATAATGTACATAAGGAACATTCCCCTAGCTTAAAGTACTGGTTTTACAAGGTTTAATTGAACAGTTTTAGGAATTTAAATCTATGTAGGTTTTCATTTTTTGAAACAATAAGCAATCTGGGGAGTACATGTGGATTTTTCAAAAAGGGTTTTATGCATAGAGGTTGTCAAAGCAATTGCTTCAAACCCTACAGCTACAGCTAAACTTCTGCACTTAGCATTCAGTATTAATAAGGCTGATGGTCCTTCTCTCCTCCCCCCCCCCCAAAAAAAAACCCCTAGAAGGAAATGGCTTACATTAACTCTATTGGGTTTCTAAGGCAAAGGTCCTCAGTTTACTGTGAATTTGTTAAGGGGTTTGAATATATATAATAGACATTTTTGTGTCTACAATATATGAAGAACATGGAAGTCACATTGCTCCAATCTGTGGTAACAAAAGTTTAATAGCAGGTCTGTGTGTATTCCTTTTTCTATTTAAAACCAACACCACTCTGGTAAATTATGCAAGAAAACAGATAGTTAAGTGAAGACTGATAATGAAACAGATATAGTGGCTTTCACTTGGAAGGGCCAGATCCTATGACTCCATCTTTGAGGCAGACATATTTCTCAATACAGGGTTTGGCCTATACTCCATTACCATCTCATAGCTGTTGGGAGGCATATGTAATAACTGTAAATACATATTATAAAGCTTAACAATAACTAGGTAGACAAGTATTGCTGCACTATTTTACAGAGAGATAAATTGAGAGGTTAAACTGAGAGGCTACACAGTAATCTGGTGGCAAATCTGATCAGAATTCAGGAGTTGCTGATTTTTTTGTCATGTGCTCATTTCTTCAGAATCCATTTCTTCACAGGGAGCTCATTTTGACATCCACTGAAGTCAATGGAAAAACTTGTGTACGTGCCCTTAATCATTTTTCTAGCAAAGAGCTGTCCACATCATCATCATAGTTGGCTCTAATATGCACCACAACTCTCCATTCAGTAGGGGTGTCCAGCAACTCTGACATACTCTATAGACGTGGTCCCTTGGGCTCCTTCCCCCATCAGGGCTAGAGCACCTTGGCAGGGCAGCACTGGGAACATGCAGTGCTGTTGTCAGGGCTGCTTCTCTGAAACAAGGTTTGAATACTGGTCACTTCTTTAGTTAAACTAAATGCACTCTTTGTTAGGTTATTTGTAAGATTTTTCTGGGGCTTTTAACTGCCATAAGTACAATCTCTAGGTTGAAACTTTCAAGCAGGAACTCCATTTAGAAATTTAATTTTTCTCGTATTTGAAAAAAAATGCAGACAACCCTCAGCTATAGAAATGGAAACAGGGAAAGATTAAAGAAAACTTCAGTGTTAGAAAGTGCGAGGTAAAAAGGTTGCTCCTATAACTAAAAACAGTTTTGCTTTTAATTAGAATTTTAAAAGCTACTACTCTGTACACTGGAAAATATAAATATTACTGAGCCAATTACAATGGTACCTTTAATTATTTAAAAAGTAATCAATAGCTGTATAGCATGGTACTTCTAGAGAATTACTATGTGGTTGTTAACACTGTTACCATATGCCCAGTGTTTTGAAGCCATTGTGTTTTACTTGTTATATAATTGTAAATAAGGGTAATTCTCATGTAGGTAGAAAAAGAATGATACTTTGTCTCTTGGATAGAGGACTGAACTATTGGAAGTGCAATTGTAGGGCTTGGCTACTTTTATTTTTAAGAAGAATGTATGAGTCTACTGGACATTTTACATCTTCACCTCAATTGATTTGATTTTTATATACATATTTTCATGATTCTTTCCTTAATTTTAGATGTTAGGATTACTTTTTACAGGACTGTGTTAGCTCCCTCTGGTGGTTAATTCTGTCTTCTAAACCGGGGTGGCCAACCTATTCTGGGCAAAGAGCCAAGATATCAGAGGGTCCAGCGCGAAGAGCCAGGGAAAAGTTGTCAAGCAAAAAAGCAAAGCTCTTCCTCTCTAAGAAAACACAGTTAGAGGCTTTCTGGCCACATCAGGCTCTCACCGGCCGACACCATCTTCAATGGCTGTGCCAGACGGCTCCCCTGCCCAGTTCAGCACATGGAGCCTGAAGGAGAGGGCCATTTTTGGGAGCTTGGGGGTGGCTTTATGAGCCACAAGGGGGGGCTTGGTGAGCTGCACCCTGGGGAGGGGGAGAAGGAAAGAGCTGCATGCAGCTCACGAGCCATGGGTTGGCCAGGCTGTCCTAAACCAAATTCTTTGCTTAACTCACCAGATCTGATAGACAAAAGGGATTTTTGGGTTTTGGGCTTTCACATGTAGGTCACTAGTTCAAATCCAGCCAATGTTAGTAGTAATGAAAATGTGTTATGATTTGTTGGTGGTTTGGTCTATGTAAAATGTTAATGGCCCTAGAACATTTTACAGGAGCCAGGTGACCACATAAAAAAATTGCTGTAACTGGTGAGATTTAGCAGCCTTGTTATCAGCGTTAAAATTGATTCCTAAGGCCAAATGGGCTAGAAGAGTAGCAGCTGGTCCGTAAGTCACAGTTGAGGAAAATTGGTGGAACTCCGATCTTGTATTGCTGTTCTGTGGATAACTAGAGGGGTTCATATTTCAGCTCCTACAAGCCAACACTTTTGATAAGTGTCCATTTAAGAAAAATCTCTGAGACAGTTCCTCGAATGTATAGATTACCCTGATTTACACTAGCTGAAGTTTCTGTCCACTTTTAATGGTTGTTTCTTTAGTACAGAGGAACATCGAATTTATTAATTATTTTACAATTTTAAAGAAGCAATTTTTTGGCACATAAAAAGACATCTCAGAAAAATATTTGCCATTCACTTAGGTGTATGAAATTATACAGGTTTTGACTTCTGGAGTTCTCAAATGTGGTTGCATAATAATTCATTGGCTCTCAATCTTTGTGAAGTCCCAAATCAACTGATTTTTCTCCCCCATAATCTTCTGAAAGAACGAGTAACTATGATTAAATAAACTATAGATTTTATTTTTGCTTGTCCCATTAACTTTGCAAAAAAGGCACAATATACCACCATAAATAAAACTTTGTAAAATCAACATACAATAGCCATGAAATATCTTATGGATTATAAGAATTGTAAATATAAGGGCGTATGAGGAAAATTAAAGGTAAAAATGACAGAGCTACCCTTTTATGAGACATATTGTGATCTTGAGGAACAAATATAGAGTTTAATGACTATAAAGTCTAATATTGGCTCTGCTATTCATTGTGTGTCCTTCAGTTTCTAGACAATTTAATAATTGCAATATAGTGAATTTATTAAATATTTCCCAGAAATTGCAGGTGAAATAAATTAGAATGAATTAACTAAGATACTCTAGACAATGTGTTATAGTGACACCACAATATAAATTAAGGGATTTTCCATATTTAACACTCTGCTTCTGCTATTCTATTTCTACCTTCCGCAGTAAGGTATAGGCAGAAAACTGTACAGATGGAAGATGGATAGCTGGACAAGATGCTCAAACAATCATACTGAGAGGTTCTTGATCGAATTTTTAAGTATAAGTGAAATATGAATTACAAAGGAAAGCCAAGAAGGCTATTTTTCTTCTTTTGCTATTTCATCACTCATGCACTTTCCTTCAATGCAAAAAGAAACAGTTTGTTCTGTAGACTCATATGGAGAGCTGGCTAAGTTTGGAGGAGGAAAAGAGGATGGGGAAAATAGAATTTTTATCGGACATCATAAACCAGTGGCAAAACTCCATTGACTTTTTGGGGTGGGATTTCACCCAGTGGGTATTTATTGACTGAGTCTCACTCTAGGCTAATAATCCTTTCCCTCTTTCTGGTCTGTTCTGATTCTTTTAGTTGTTTTGGTTAGGCTATTGCATTTTTTTTAATTAATTGAGCTACCGCACTTTAACATGGACTCCTTCCAACCTTGGGCTACCACTCTGAACCCTCATTTCCACAGATTTGGTAGCACTCTTTTTGGGATGTTTATGTATGACTGACTTATACACCCTTCATTTTATTTGATCCATGTGAGTTGCTGCTCGCTTCCCCAGAGCACTTAGAATCTGCATTTTTTCACCTGAATACTAGCCTATTTTGTCTTTCCTTGGACTGAGCTTCTCAATTTTTGGATTGAGCAAATTGCATATCTTATTTCGAGTTTTAGGTGCTGTGTAGATGTACCCTTAGGCTATGTCTACATTACAGGGTTTTTGTGCAAAAACAGTTGTTTTTGTGCAAAAACCCATGGAGTGTCCTCACCTCAAGTGTGTTTTTGCGCAAGAAAATGTACAGTAGAATGGCAGAACAGAGGGCTTTTTGCGGTCTAGTTATACCTCTTTCTATGAGGAATAACTCCTTTTTGTGCAAGAGTTCTTGTGCAAAAAGGTGTGTGTGGACACTCAACAGGGGTTTCTTGTGCAAAAAGAGCCTATCAGAAAAAGCACAGGTGCTGTGATGGTCATTCTGTGAATGGCAATCAGAACTTTTCTTGCAAAAGAGTGTCCATGCAGTGTGGACACTCTCTTGCACAAAAATGCATCGCTGTTGTGATGTGCTTTTGAGGTGTGGATGTGCTTTTGTGCAAGAAGTTTTTGCAGAAGACCTCTTCCACAAAAAGCTTCTGGCACAAAAACCCTGAAGTGCAGACAAAGCCTTAGAGATGAATGTCTCTAGATATTGTTTCTAAGATTCTAAACCATCCAGAATCCCAATAAGCTAATATTTTTGCATGATTTATACAATCAATCATTTATGCTTTTTTCAAGGTGATAAAAATAGCATGAAAATCATTAAAGACTACAGAATAGCACCTAATAATGTCTCTTTATGGCAACATTAGCTAGCATGTTATATCAAGACTGCCATCTACATTGGTTATTATGGCCTAGTGTCAAACACAGACATCTGGCAAAGCAGGTAAACCATCTGTAAAAATAACCATTGCATGTAATAACCCAGATAATGTCTCAATTAGTTATAATTTCACAGTGTTGTGAGTGTAGTGAAACAGTATGTCCTATGGGAAAGTCAGATTAAATTGTTACATATGTATTTATGCATATAGTCCAGAGGTGTTAGCTGAAACATATGCTGAGGTTATGCTACTTGTGAAAATTTGTTCCTCAAAGTAGCGTATATTTTTATAAAATACTTGCAATTTTTTTAATACAGTGAATCCATTAGTCTCTCACAAATGGCACCACTGGTCTTTTCACCTGACAGCATAGTGTAGGCATGCACCAAGGCCGGATCCAAAACCTGTTGACATTAATGGAGGTTTGGGATCACGTCACAGCAGTTTATCACACATATCACAAAGTCTTTATGAAGGCTAGTTTGCAACCATTCCTCCATATTTTTTATAGTTCATTACTATTTAAAGATAAATATGTGATAATCAGTTTGTCTTCACATTACATAAGGTAAAATATATTTGCTAAAGAATACCTAAGGGATATAGAATTATTCATTTTCTTTTTGCATATAAATAATAATAATAGAATGCCATTTTATGGGAATTTTTTAGCATATTTACAGTGTAAAAAATGAAAATAAAATAATCAGCTACAAGTTGAAGCCATTGTTTTATATACATAGTAATACTCCATTTTAGTACAAATTGTGTAGAGATAACAGTTACTATTTTAGTATATAGAAGTTACAATGCTAGTGCTGACTTTTGTAAATCATCATGAACTACCAAGTATTTTTAATTGACTTTTACTTAGGAGGTTGTGGTAGCCTCATGACCTCTGGAGTTGAAGCTCTCACTGAGGTTGCCTCTACACTGCACCGTTTTTCTGGAATAATGGTCATTATTCTGGAAAAAAAATACTGGTTTCTATACTGCAACTGCTTTACTTCAACAGAAAGATGAAATAATGGATGGCTTTTTCTGACTGCAGTAAACCTCATTCCATGAGGAATAAGCCCTTTTCCGAAAAAGCTTTTTCG